ATACCTGCAGGTCTGGTGATTTCAGGGTAATCACGAAGAATGTGATGAAAATCCGAATCACCAGTGACCGCCTTGATGGAAGACAGCTCATCAGGAACCGAAGAAGAAAGGGCTGCTACTGACAAGGTTGTAGTACCGTCAATGAGACGTTGGTTTCTGCAATCCACGAGTAAGTTGTAGAAACTGAGCAAGTCGACACCAATGATGGGTCGAGATACATCGGCGATTGTAAAAGTCCATGCAAAATCTCTCCGAAGTCCCAAATCCAAGTGAAGCTGAACTGGTCCGTAAGTATGGATGACGCTATTGTTTGCAGCTACCAGGTCGTATTTGGTAAGTGAGCAGGGCGTTTTATGTGCTGAACGTGGGAAAACACACAGGTCGGAACCAGTGTCCACAAGGAACTGCATTTTCGTTGCACGATCTGTCACAAACAAACGGCCTGATGATGTTGAAGGTGGGCAGTCGTTGGCCGCTACTTCCGACCGCCCTGTGCGTTTCCCGACGTGAAGGTACAAGGTTGCTTACATTTCTTCGCTTTAGCTCCGTATGTGAAGTGATAGAAGCAGTGAGGATGATTCGGAGGTGGCTGCTGTGGTTTCGAGCGACTGCGTGAGCGATCGCTTCGCTGTGACTTGGAACGACTGCGTCCTGGATGCCCTTTCCTAGACATGTGAGAGGTAAGTGAAGCTACTTGCCTAGTGAGTTCGCTTATCTGCTTAGTCATCTCGTCGAACCGATCAGCACCTGAGGATGATGTACTAGCGACTTGAGGAGATGGTGCAGCGATGTCGTAGATAGAATCAGCCAAATCAGCCAGGTACTCCAGTGGCTCGTCCCTCCTAGAGGCTAAAACAGTTCGGATTTCCTGGGGTAACCTGCTGGTCCAGATAGTCTTCATGAACTGGCTGGGCACGTCTGCACCTGCTAGACCCTCTAGGTGGCGCAGGAACTGCGAGGGCTTCCGGTCTCCTAGCTCCTCTCGCTCCAGCAGCTGCTTCAAACGCTTTTCCTGCGATGCACATAATCGTTTAATAAGTTCAGTCTTTATTTTCTCGTATTTGCCCGATGCTGGAGGATTTTTAATTACGTCCTTCACTTCCATTGCGTATTGTGTGTCGAGCTGTGAAACTACATAATGGAATTTGGTTTCGTCGGTGACTACCCTAGAGAGGATAAACTGACTCTCCAGTTGCGCGAACCATACAGTAGGGTCCGCAGGCCAAAAAGGTGGGACGCGCACTCCCACGCGCGATACCTGAGGCTCCTCCACTATTGCGTTCGGAATAGGACCGTCCTCATTAGACATCTTTAATATTAAAAAAATATTAAGTCGCTTGCCGCTTGTGACTTGGACCACACGCTAAAATTTCTATGAAAGTGAAAGTGGTATGTATCTAAGTAATTTCTCAATAGTTACACCAAGTATTTCAAAAAAGTACCTTAGAAACAGGTTCCCTTGTTAGGACTGATGCACTGATGCAATCCTGGATATTCCCGATTTTCAGCCACAAACCTTGAAAAATCTTCTACCTTCAAAAAATCCGGCGCAACAATCTTCAAAATTCTTTTGCTTTCGGGGTCACCAATATGTGGGGGAATCGCTACCACATTAATTCCCAGGTTCGTACCGGGATCCTTATCCAGTAAGGTAGGTTGGACGTTTAAGAAAAAATATCACTACACTGAGGTGGAAGTCGAAAATGAACGATAGTTTAGTAGTTCCAACAATTATATTTTAAAAAGAATCTTTACAAAATTAAAAGATATTTAGATAACAAGTTGATACAAAATAATGAGCGGTAGTAAGCGTGAGCGCCGAACGCGGAGTGCGTAGGTAGGTCCGTACATTGCCGGTCGCTAGGCCGGTGCGACGTCACACGCCATCCTTTTGTTTACTGCCTCGGGTGTATGGTCCAAGGTGCGAAAGTTGAGCGGGGCTAATAACTTCGTAGGATGTGGTGTAAGTAGGTACGCCACAGGCGACTTTCCGGCAAATATTTGGGACACGGAGCTTCTGGTCAGAGTTCATTTTACCATCGGCGACGACAGTACAGACTTCCTTCAGTAAGGCGTAATGGGGGTGTTCACATTTAAAAAAAACCTGTTGTTTTTGTACTAATACTAGCTTACATACCACTTTAAGAAAGTACCCGTTTTTTTCCGTGCGGAAATCCCCTCGGATACCACCTATCGGTAGCATGTCGGACTCGAACCGACTAAAACCGCACGCCGTCTCGGGTACTAATAGCCGGGGAACCAGGTATACCCTAGAAAGGAAGTCCCTGGTGCCCCGATACACCTCGGGCCATCTACAGACGAGTAGAGCCCCCCCCCCCGTGTGGGAACCCCATGTTCCCTCTGCTCTCTGGAAGCGAGTGCGCTTCGCAACGCCTTTCCCACATCCTTTCCCAGTGATCACCTGCGTCAGTCGGTATGAGAGGGTCCAGTGACGCCTCTCGAGCCAATCCTCCATAACGGGTCTTACCGCCGCGATGACGGCGTGCCAGGCGCTCGGTTGCCCGAGTCGTTCCCTCCACTCCCCTATGATGACCTGGCGGAGTTGGGCTTTCCGGTCATCGATTTCTCGAGTCTCGGGACAATGACCCAACTCCCGCGCCTCCTTGCGCCACTGATACAGAGCCGCAAGGGCTCTCGCCTCCAGGTCCCACGGTGGATTAAGAAAGTACCCTAAGAATTTTGATGATCAAATCAAATCAAATCAAATAATTTATTATTTGCATAAAACAGGTATAAAGGTGGTAGAAGATACATCATATAATACATGGGTACGCTGTAATATAACCTCTTAAAGGTGTGCAAATATTTAGTCATAGATATTTAAAATATTATTATTTAGACGATCAACATTACAAATACAATTTGAAGAATATATTCATATCATAAATTTATTCAGAGAATTAATAATGTCAAGAGTGTTATGAATTTTATTAAGTCAGATCAATACAATAAAACCAAAAAATAATTTAAAAAAACAATAATAATCAAATAGTCAAAATAATAAAAATGAAAAAAAAAATGTCACATTGTCATGTTCAACATAAATTAAATAACAATGAACGAAATTAATTTGATTTACAATTTGTCTTGCAGAAAATCATTTACATTATAATAGCATTTTTGGCTCAGAATTTTTTTTTAATGTCTGTTTAAAGATAGTCGGATTTAACTCCTTTATATTCCTAGGTAATTTATTATATATTTTTGGAGCCATGGCGAAAACACTGTTATGCATTAGAGCAGTGTTTGATTTACACAGGCATAGCCGGGATTTATCTCTTTGCATTCGGTCATACGCGTCAGAAGACAAAACAAATAAATTAAAATTTAGTTTGGCAAACATACCTACCTCGAGTATATAAATGGAAGGTAGTGTCAAAATATTATATTTTTTATAATAGGGCAGACAGCTGTCGGTTGATTTTAGAGAGAACATTGCCCTCACACAACGTTTCTGTACCTTGAATACTTTATCTTTATGTACACATGTATGATCTTCAGTAAGTCAGTGACTAGGTATCATAACATTATACACTAATAAATGTTTAAGGTAAACTCCGATAGAGGGCGTTGTACCGTTCCGCTGAATCGCGGTATGGTTGTGTTACCGAGTTTACCATATAACTCTAACTTGTTTTTAATAAAATCGACCAGCATACCCAAACAACCTACATCAAAATACAGTTGTTTTATTTCTAACACCTAAGTATTTACACCCATTGAGTTCAACAGTGCAAAATAGCAATATCAGCAATGAACAGTGACGATATCGTTTTTTTTAGAAATTAATGAAATTTTAAGAACTGTGCAATTGATACTTTATATATTTAATAAGTCTACTATTGGCATCATATTCCAAGAATTTTGTTTATCTGTAATATTCCAACCCCAAGTTATGATGATTTGAAAATACGACGAAACGCTTCGAGAAAAGGTACTAAAGGTAGGTTTTTTTTTTACGTAGTGCCTAGCGCTAGGCTTCATTAGGCTCGTCTCGGCGGATATCATGCGACTTGAAATGACATACCTATTGACGTAGAGAAATAAGTAATAACAGGAAAATGCAGAGATAGGTATCTCGATAATAAACTCTTGGCGGCACATCTCTAATGTGACGGGACTACGGGGAATTCTTTTTCCTCGTAGTTCCACCACAACGCAGTTGGGCCGGCTCGTGCAGGAGGATCGGGTAAAAAGGCAAAGAACACTACGAGCTTGTTTGAACAAGTATAATTTCATTTCTACAATAAATTAAAATTTTAAATTCAATATTTCGCAGAACTTACGACCGCCGCGCAAAGATACTTGCGCCGAGGGCCATGCATAAGCATTATCTAACGTGTCACAGTTTAGTGAACTCACTCGGCGCGTACATAGATATATATCGTGTCCGAGGGCTGCTTGTAAACGAAAAGCTACGCTTATTCTTGTTACATATCACATGTGATCGAAGACGAATGCACCGAAGACGCGTTGAAGTTAACTGGAATGACCCTGGTGGGTCAAAGGTCATTCCAGTGGTGGTCCATTCCAGGTGGTCCTGAGGCCTGTGAGCTTATTTCACATGTACTCGACCGTCGCGGCGACTGCGGCCTGCACTGAAATGTTCACTCGCTCGATGGCGAGAGCGAGTTGATGTGGAACAAACCTGTACCAGGCCCTCAGATGATAATTAAAGAGGATTGACATTTAAAGCCACGCCAAGCGTGTCACGGCGAGTGAGGCGCGCCACGTCCGACCTCATCTATGTTTGGACTCACGTTTAACAAAGTACGATGCACCTATCGACACCCGAAATAAGCCCGATACAGACAGGACAATATGACAATAATACACATAATAACTATCCACAACGTTCAGTACAAAAATATAATAAATAAAATATGAAAATTGCAAACAATCGAACGTAGATCTATCGACGCTGAAGAAGGAAGCCACGTGGAGGGCGCCGGCGCGAGTGGGGGGGGGGGACATGCCGATCAGCACCTGCAACGATATCCGTCATTTAATGCCTACTACCACTACAAATCAGCCGCTGCATGAATTTCGCCTGTTTTACGCACAGACGAATCGTGTGATGGTTAAGGAGGTGACAGCTTAAACCATTTAATTAAGCCATCTGTGCAGTCAAGTTCTGTGTGAGGCCGCGACCCGAAGCACATCGTTTTACCGCGGAAGAGCCATGTTTTAGCAGATATGATTGCACAGAAAACCAGTGTTAAGCTTTCGTTGCTTTCCATCTAGTGAGTTAGGTCAACGGAGCCTCATTGACTGTTGAGCTGAAAGTGTCCACGGGTGGCGGCGATCGCTTACCGCCCGTCTGCTCGTTTCACCCCTATGCCATGAAAAATTGGCGTGGCCATTTTTGATACAAAATTAAATTAAAGTGGTTTTCTGTCTACAAATATCCTAAAGAGTTTCTCAAAATCGGTAATCGTTTCCGTTCCGCGAACATACGTACCTGGGCGGTTGGGGATGCATCGGCTGCGGGGCGAAGGCGTGCGGCGCGAAGTGGCCCGGGGGCCCCGGCGGGGGCGGCGGGGGGCCCCCCAGCGACGCGTAGGGCGGCTTGAGCGGGTCGCGCATGAGCGAGTGGTACAGGTTGAGCGCGTCCACCAGCTCGGCGCTGAGCTGCGTGAGGCGCGCGTGGCGCCGGTCGGCGCGCTCCAGCGCCGCGTCCACCAGCGCGCCCATCGCGTGCGCGCGCGCCTCGAGCCGCGCCAGCGCCGCCTCCGCCTCGGCCGCGCCCGCCTCGCGCGGGTCCGCCTCGTGCAGCAGCGCCAGCGCCGCGTCCATGGCGGCCTCGTCGATGTGCGCCACGAGCGCCTCCTCGGCCGGCGCCGCCGCGCTCTCGGCCGGCGCCGGGGCCGCCGCCGCGCCCGGCTCCGACAGGTCGCCCGTCACGAAGTTCGCGGGAAACAGACCCTCGCCGCGCTCGTTGTGACCTTTCCACCAGTTCGGATCCGACGAGTCCGTGACGTGCACTGAGGACGAAATTTAAACTTTAGCGGCGCTCGTCTCGGGATCCGAGCGGAGTCGACGGGACGCGTCGGGCGTACCTATCTCCCCGGCGAGGAAGGTGAGCTCGTTATCCTCGGCCGCCTCGAAGTCGTAGAGCGCGCGCACCTTGCGCGGCGGCGCGGCTTCGGGCGCGTCGACGCGCGGGTAGAGCGCCTGCGAGGCCCCGGCGGGGGCCTGGGGCGCGGGCGCGGAGGTCTCGCGCAGAGACAGCGATATGGCTCGCGCGAGGTCCTCCTGCTCGCGCGCGGCGGCCGCGGCCAGCGCCTGCGCGTCGGAGGCGCGAGGCGCCGGCCCCGCGTCGGCGGACTCCTGGCGCAGCTTGGCGTGCAGCGACGGGATGAGGTCGAGCTGCGGGTCGTCGCGGAACTCGCCCTCGGCCCACTTGCGGAGCAGGGCGCGCAGACGCGCCGCCACGGTGGGCTGCGCGCGCGCCAGCAGGCGGCGGAACTCCTGCTCGAAGTCGCGCGACGCCACCTCGAGGTGGAAGGCGCGGCCGCAGTTGGCCACGCAGGCGTCCAGCAGCGTGGCGGCGTGCACCTGCACGTGCGGGTCGGGGTGCGCGAGGCGGCGCAGCACGGCGCGCAGACACTCCTTGGCGTGCGCGCTGGACGCGCCGGCGCGGTCGCAGATGTCCATGATCAGCCCCCATTCCTCGCTCGTGTTGTTTTCGCTGGTCGCTCTCTCTGTGAACGATCGAATCACCGAGTTCTTAATATTTAAACAACATCTACGTAACGTATGATAGGTATAACGTATGTAAAATATTTTCACAGAAACTCTAGGTAATATTTTAAATTCACTATTCGCTATTTCAATTATTGTTTTTCATTTACGGGTCACTAAACTGGAAATACACTTTAAAAGAGTTTAAAAAGGTTCAAAATAGATAATAAAGACAAAGCGCTAGAAATATTAACATCTCACTTAAATGGCCGTGAGCAAATAGCCAAAATCGGGCAACATCACAGCTCTCCCAAATACTACTTATGGAGTTCCTCAAGGTTCAATCTTGGGACCTCTTTTATACTTAATTTATACCAATGACATATCCCAAATTGAAGTAAAGGGCGAAATTTCACTTCATGATACTAGCCTATTTTACTCGTATTACGGCCATTCTGTCGACGCTATAATAACCCCAAATTCAGAATGATTTAAACATGTTAAATGATTGGTTCTAGTTTACTCACTGTAAATACTAAAAAACAAACGGTCATTTTTGCAGCCAACACAAAAAAAAAACCATTGATGATATATCACTGATTATAAATAACGAACCAATCAAAATAAAGACAAATGAAAGATATCTTGGCATCATTCTGGACACTCGCCTGTGCTGGAAACCTCAAATAGATAATTTTATAAATAAACTTATTTTACTGACGGGTTGCCTATTCAGTATAAGATAAATGTATTCCTCACAAAGTCAAACCACAAATTTAGTTGAAATATGGGGAACCGTAGGTAAGACTATATTAGATGACTTACAATGAAAACAAAAGAAATTAATAAACATTCTTTTAACTATAACTTTCGTACTCCCACTTAAAAAACATACGAGGACACCAAAATAAGGACCATAATACAAACCTATATGTACTTCACGTGTATATTATATTGATACATAAAATATTAAATAGAAATATATACTAATTATTATTTATCTTTCACAACAAATTGTGCTCGGCAAACAATGAAACTAAGAAACGCAAGCCATCTTTTAACTCTTCCACACAGAAGGAACTATGGAAAGAAGAATATTGAATTTGAAGGAGATAAAATATACAATAACTCATGCAGTCCCTAATTATCCCTATAATTGATTATGGCGATGTGTGTTACTTTGACCTGAATGCAGATCTCCTTAACAAGCTAGACCGTCTTCTCAATAACTGAATTCGATATATATTTAATCTTCGAAAGTATGACGTCTCTGCTTTTTGTTTCCAATTGCAATGGTTGCCGGTCGCCTGCGCCGTAATCAGCGAGCGCCGTCTCTTTTCATTCCTCAACTCCCCATTCTCACCCACTTACCTTGAGCCCTATATGTGTTTCCTGTCCACTAAACACTATAGAAATCTTCGCTCAACAAATAATTTGCTTCTCCTTTGTCCCTCCCACAATTCTGAGTTCTTCATTCTTTGTGCAAGCAGTACAGCTTTGGAATGCGCTCTGACTTGAGATCAGCATGTCCACAAACCGTTTCACATTTAAAAAGAATGTACTTAACTACCTTCTTCAGCTGGCGGAATTACCTACTCAATAGTACACCTCCATATTTACAGTGTACAAATATACACAATAAGTATTTTATGTGTATTTATATCTATATATGTATATGTGTGTATGTATGTGTGTAATAGTATTTGTTAGTTATAACTGCTATAGCAACTGCAACCTCAGTGCACCTACCTCACCAGATTTCTACACCCCACAAAGGTTGGCTGGTAGAGAATGCCTTGGGCATTAAGCCCGCCGTTGTACACCAGTGCATAAAGTTGTAAATAAATAAATAAATATTATATATAAAGTGATATGATAGTTGTATATGTCAGACTTATTATAAGTCTACTAATTACTACTAATTACATTTTTATATACTGTCACATTTATTTCTTTACTTGAACTATCCTTAATTCATTTCTTTAATTTTAAATTATTAAAAAAGTAAAATGTTTATTCATATTTAATGCTTTTGTTTTATATTTTAATATACACATTTACCTTGATATTCTAATTTTAAATTGATTTTTTATGTATAAATTTCATCATATTGTTTCCACAATTGTTATCCAGTTTAAAATGTTGTCATTCAGCATTCCTGCTAAGAATTACTTTGCTACTTGTGCCTTGAACCATTTTTTTTTAAATTTTTATCTCAAGTATTTGAGCTATGTGTTTTGTATAACTTGTATTTGAATTATTTACACCCAAATTGTTTGTGAAATTTCTAATCTCGATCCCATTCTACGATCAAAACCATGCCCACTTCACAATAGCCAATCTCAGCTTAGAAAAACAAACACAGGGAACTATTGTTACCTTAATCGCTTCCACTCACAGGCAGCTCTACTCTATGCTTATTTATCTATGAATGGAATACTGTAGGTATATATATAAATAAACTAAGCCCCAGCTTCGACTCTAGCCTTCTCGTTAGGGCTCTTGAGCCTTTAAGACCAGAACCCTTAAGGCTCGAACCTTACAAACATGAAGACATGTGAACCCTTACAACTTGAACTTTTAAGGTTCATTAGCTTTGATTAGGGGTTTGAGATCCCAATTGGAAGCTCATTTTTCTCAACACTAGATGACATATGCTATATAGTCTTGGTAGTGCACAATATTTTTTAAAAATTGAACATATGCTCCTAAAACTTCCTATCAAGGTATGAGACATTAAGAACACTACTTATAATATCTGATTAAAGGAATATTCTTACAACAGTTTGGAAGGACATCACCACTATTAGAATCTATTAATGTGATTAACAAAAAAAATGACAGGATATCTATAGCATTTATAATTAAGGAGCAGTAATGATTTTTTATGTTTAATGTTTAGAATTTGTTTGAAAAAAAACTATTAACATATTACAAAAAATCACAAAAGAAATATAAAGAAAATTCATTTTGTCACACATTGTGTATAAAAACTAACATAGATGAAGAGCAGAGCTGTAAGTAAAACGCAGCTGAAACTGCAGGGAACTACTAGTAATATTGTAAGGTAACCAAAACATCCTATATGTTTAGTAAACAGGGATTGACATTTGTACTTGCCCTAAAATAACATTTTAAATAAAATAGGTGAATGAATCCTTATCACACAACACATATGCCTTGTTTTGTACATATATCTAAATGTTGGTATGAATCATACCCATGCTAATGTACGGCCTCCATCAATTGATATTTGTTATAATACACAAAGAGATACTATAATGTATGTATAGTGTCATCTATATAACAACATGACTTGCGCTATTCTGGTTAAAAAGAACTTATTTTTACAAATACTTTAGGTGAATTGTAAAATAAATAATATAACGCTTACCGACATCTTGATCGAAGGGTGAAGAAGTCCCAAAAATACCCATTGTTACTTTGTAAAAATATCCATCAACTACTTGATGTTAGCAAGTATCGCCAATAATTATCAATTTAGACTGCCAAACTACTTTAAAAATTGTTATTTATAGAGGAAAACTAACTGACGAGCAACACAAAGAACTGATAATTTATTTATCAGATCATCGTACTTTAACAATCTTGACGTAAACAGTCTAGCCAATCAACTATGTAGGTAACTTCAATAATTGCAAATGTCAGAATGTGAAATAATGTCAATAGAAAAATTAGGCCAGATCATGTGAAAGCATTGAAAATTATCGATAAATAAAGAAACAGCTTTTATGGATTGAATGACTTTCAAACGTTCAGTAAATATACAATAACATTAATAGAAGATACTATTTATGTATTGTCTTTGATATAATTTTTTTATCAAAAATCTTTTTACTTGCTTACCCCACTGTTCAATGGGAACGAAACGACCATTGCATGGCAACTTACTATTCTAGTCGATTTAAAATCAGTTAGTAAAAATAAAAAAGAGGCACACCGGGAGTGCCGACAGAAGTGAAAACTAATTATTTTTTATTATAACACTTTTTTTAACGGTTAACTTTTTTTTTTAACGGTTTTAACTTTTATATATATATGTGTCTGTTTATATATATACTATCGCCAGTATAATTTCAAAATTAATTTGTTGTGTTCCTAAAAACAAAAAAATGTTTCGTGACAAAACAAAACATGTTTTAACTTTTGAAACTAACCTTTCCTTTGTAACTGTATTCGTTTTGTTTACCTAGTTGTATTAATTATCATAAAAGCTGAATTATAAATAATTATTAACTAATAACTTATAGGTGCAGGGATGACATCAAGAGAGTTGCTGAGTTCGAGGATGATGGGCAAGATATGGATAAAGATAATAAAGAAAATAATGCTGTAGAAGAAGATGAAGCGAATTTTGATAAAGGAAAAAATGAAGAAGAAGGCGACGACACCGAGGAAGAAATGGAAATTGAGTGCCTTATGGACGACGAATTTCGCAGTCTGCGATGAAAAATAATACATAAAAATAAAGTTTATCTATTCAAATTACTATTCTCATTATTTACAAAATATATTTTTAATATAAATACAAATATTTAGTGAATTTCTGCCTGTGGAGAGCACGGTGTGCTAGAACGCTGTGAGCGCAGTGTGCCGGCACAGTACTGTCACATTGATTGAATATGCGGCCCGCCCGGTAATTATATAAATGTGTAAACGGGCATCACGGCTATCGCCACATTGAAAAAGGTGAGTACTTAGAAATGAAAACGGTAAAACTAGTAGAATTCTAAAGCAAAGTTTTGCTTTTAGTGGCTCGTTTGCCCCCCCTCTTCCATAAAAAAAATTGTTGTCAGACCACAGGGGTTGCCGCTTAAGAAATTAAACAATATTTATCTGTATATATCTGGTGTTTGTCACATCTAAATCTGTAAGTTTGGTAAGGGTAACGGCGGGTAACCTCACATCACTCCGTCCTCCTGTCATGTCATTCTGCCCCATGGTGCTTCTGACATGTTTACATTTTTATTTTAACCTACTTCAAGAGAATAAATTTAATTGAAATGATTGAAAGAAGTATAATTAGGCTTTGTAAAGATCTAGGGTGTTGTGATGCCTGCTGTGTACGATATCTAGGATTAAAAAATCCGAGTTCATACGAAAATGTCCATCAGTTTGTTCAAAAAGTGTGTATACAGAATTATTAAGTTATAATATTATGTTGGAATACAAATATGCAATGTTTTGAATTTTATGCAATTGCCCACACATTGACAACTGCTTGCAGTAACTTTTTCTTTGATAATGTTTGTTTAAATCTGAACTAATACAACTAGAGATCGCCTGCCGGTCGCGAGGTCTCGTTGTTTACCACGCTTTTGTATGTATACGATTTTTTACGATAAAATGTTTTTTCTTAATCACAATTTTTTTTGAACTTATAGTCTATTATTTTCTAGTTTAGATCGACTAGTTATCAAAGCTTTGAGCGGCCATGTCAAAGTCCTCAATACCCTTTGACATGGCCGTTGTGGTAAGTTATTGCCACACATTCTCATTGGAATATGGAACTGTGTTGGCCTACATTAGTGTTATGTTCTGTTTAGATCATGTGAGATAACTCCAGCTTCCGTTCCAGACCCAGTTATGGAACCGTCCGTGTAAATTGGGACTTTGTTTATGCCAGATTGATCTTGGTCATTTTCTTGTGTCTTTTTGTGCTGAAGATATGGTGTTTTGGAATCCTGTTGCATGGGGCTACTTATAGTCGTTCTTATTCCATTAATTGTGTTAATGATGATTTGGAGTGTGATCCTCGCCTTTGTGCCACAGACACAGGTGTCTGAGTCTAATAATCTGATAACCATGGCTGCCTCCTGCTGTTTGAACAAGGCCAGTGGGGACAGACCATGAGCCACCTCTAGTGTGGCAGTTGGTGTTGCAGCAAAGAGTTGCGACAGCAAGTGACTGTGGAGCATGGGAGTCGGTAGAATGGCTGCAATCTGTTTATGCTGGTGCTTAGCTCAGTTCTGTGCCACCAGACAACGGCACTGTATGTGATTATTGGTTGTATGATTGTTTTGTAGAGCCATAGTGTAATCTTTGCTGATAGTCCCCAGCATTTGTTGATTAGCCGTTTGCGTTGGCAGAAGACAATGCAGGCTTTGTTTAGTTTCTCGTTGAGGTTCCTATTCCTCAAGAGTTTACTGTCTTGTATTACTCCTAGGTATTTGAACTCTTTGGTAAGAAGTAGTTGGGTTTGAAATAGTTTAGTATTACTAAGACTAGTCTACTTTCGTTTACAATAGTATAAAATCACATTACAGTCAATGTTGGACATTTGATACTTGACTATGAGAATACCTACATTGCAGAGAAGTGTGAGCCAGTGCGAGGAGAGATGTCACACATCAATTCATAAATCGAGATCTGGAATCGAGAGAGGTTTGAATGCTACACACAGTTAAGAAAACTAGGTATCTTGTAGACTATTTCTCCTTTATAATGTCATACAGACACTTTCACTTCAGACAATAGGATTCATTGTCCGGTTGCCAGTCCACATGCTGCTTCTTGACATGATGTAATATTTATGGCAGCATCTTAATGTTTGTTCTTCTTGTCAGGGTTTCGGTCTCATTAGAGTGAATCTTTATTTTTATTCAAGCATCAATAGACTTGTTACTGAAAGACATTATTAAAAGATGGCAGATGCAATTATAAACTTGTTATTTTTTCAGTATCTTGACAAAGACTCAAACAGCCAGTCACAAACCTTAGGAAATGAGGGACATGCTGACCCCGACCCTAACTTATTGAAAGAGACTAGTGCAGATCGAGATAATAGTCCAGTTGATATTAATACTGCTCAACCCAATAATGGTGCATCTGAAAGTCAAACAATCGATACAAAAACTGAAGTTGATGTCGGGACATCTAGTATACCTCCAGCCAAGAGAATGAAAATGGATGACGTGTGTGTCACCTGCCTTGGAATTCTACAGGAGAAGACATGGCCTGAAGCCTTCTCTATGGTGCAAGACGTGTTGGAAAAAAAACGGTTCATACAATTTCCTATTTATCTGTAATTAAGAGAGAAGCAAAGAAATGCACTCATGACTTTAGGCGGTAGGTGTCCGTGGGCGGCGTTACTCACTCACCGTATTAGGTGCCGTGTCTGCTCATTTGCTCCTATCATAAAATAAAAAGAAATTTATTTTGTACTCATGCAGTGTACAGGGTAGCGTGAGGATTGAAAAAAAAAAAAAAAAAAAAAAAAATTGATAGACTATGTCATGATTTGTTATGTGAATCAACAATATTATATAGTTTGTTTAGTATTCTCTCCTTCCTTCCCTCCATCAAAAAAATCTACTAACAAAAAATAATTTTTAAATTTCTCTTAAGTGCAGTATTTTTTTTGGTTATGGTGAATATTAATGTATGCTGTATTGCGTTTCAGGTATGAGTGTGAAACAATAGCGTGTGCATTGTCGTCACCTATTGCTGCGATTCTACGCGAGAGAGCGGTCTCGTTGCATCTAGAGCAGGCCTGTCCCGGTTACGAGCAAAGTCAGTTGTTGTTTCATGTCATAATTAATAAGCACCAATTATTTCAGCCTGCCTTGCCAATCACAGAACTGACTATCCGGACCTCTTCGAGGTACTACAGTTATAGTCCTGGCTTCCATTCGAGACATCGCGGTCCTTCCTATTCACAATACAAGTTCTTCGCTTTGATCGTTTTTCCTCCCAATTTACCTTCTTTTTGCATTTTAAAAGGTTAACATGCCCAAGAAGGGTTTTCTTTAGGCGAACGACGGTCGGAAAAAGGGCAGAAAGTTTTTTATAAATGTCGTATTTACAGAATCACTGATGCCCCTGAAAGAGGCGTGGAAATGGTTATTCGGGCGAAAGCTAGCGGATATCGTCGGCAAGAGGCTCGATTCCGGCGCCGTGGCGCCGCTGCTCGTCACGCTCAACGTCGAGTACCCGGACGACGGACAGGTCGGTTCACCGCAATCATTCGTATCGACATAGGGCCCGGCCGCCGATCGTCCTTCGGGTCGACGTCCGGGCGTTTCGATAAGTCGTTCTTCGCTCTGGTCGCAGGAGCTGGAGGTGGTGAGGGCGCTGGCGCCGGCGCTGTTCGAGTCGCGCAGCAAGCAGCGGCGGCGCTTCTCCGTGGAGTTCACGCGCCGCTCCGTGGAGCAGGCGCTGGGCGGCGCCACGGCGGGCGCGATGGCGGCGGCGGGCTGGCGCGCCCCCCCCCGCCCCGCGGCCCGCGCGCGCGCCGTGAGCGCGGCGGCCTGGCACGCGCCGCTGTTGCTGGGCGGGCGCTACGTCAAGCTCAGCCGCGCGCTGCCGCAGACGCCGTGGCTGGTGGCGGGGCGCCGCATGATGCACTCGTCGGTGCAGGAGATCATCTTCGAGCCCGTCGCGGCCGCTTACGGGTCCGTGCGTTCGTCTACCGTTTGACGGTCTTCTATTAGTCGTTCGATCGTTGTCGAAATCGGCGCATCGAACGGACGTCGAGACGTGTCATAAAATAGTTAATCGCTACAGGTTGTCGCCGGAGGAGGGCGAGCAGAGGCTCAAGTTGATATCGGCGGGCCGCGAGGACGTCGACGTGCGCTGCCTGGGCACCGGCCGCCCCTTCGCGTTGGAGGTGGGTGTCGGCGACCTCGGATGAAGTCGCTCCCCACGGCCGAAACTTATCGCGGGCTCTGTTGCAGATCGCGGACCCTCGCCGGACGCCCGACGCCGAGGAGCTGCAGCGCGTGTGCGAGCGTATCTCCGCCGAGCGCAAGGTCATCGTTCGTACTCTAATGCCCATCACCAGGTAACGATAACGGGATACGAGCCCGCTCAGGATCATAGACGATTCGGACCTCGGCTCCGTTCGGAGTACGGAAGCCGTCGATAGCCGACAGTCGCCGGACGGACTACCGCTCTTTTGACTTCCAGTACGTTGAGAACGGTCGGTCGATCGATTAGTCGATAAATAGCGGGACGCGCATCGACGTCGTCGTCGGTGACCGTCGACTATCGTCGGTCGCTCGTCGCGTACGCGGCGAGACTGGAAAAAACCGGTTCACGCTGGCATACCCGGTGGAAAACCTCAGGGTCAGTGTGACGCGTGTCGTTAGTTTGCAAGTTGCAAGTAAATAATGGTTGCAATTTGCACGTCCTTCGTCTCCGTTCCGTTTACCTACTCGCGTGCTCGGAACGAGAGCGGGGAGGTAACGAACGTCGTCTCGCCGCAGGGAGGACCTGACGCTGCTGAAGCAGGGCGAGCAGACGAAGTGCAAGACGTACGAGGCGCTGTGCGTGAAGCTGGGCGCGGACGGCGCGCCGGCGGTCGTGACGCCGCTCGACCTCGCCAACATCAACGCGTACCGCAACACGCCTGAGGGCGACGCGGCGCGCGTGCGACTGCTGCAGCGCACGCCGCTGCGCGTGCTGCACCGCCGCCCGCTGCACGCGCGCCGCCGCGCGCTGCTGGCGCTGCACGCGCGCGCCGTGCCGCGCCGCCCCGCGCTGTTCGCGCTGCGCGTGCGCGCCGAGGCGGGCACGTACGTCAAGGAGTGGGCGCACGGCGAGCTGCGCCGCACGCGCCCGGCGCTGGCCGACGCGCTGGGCGCGCGCGCGGACATCCTCGCGCTCGACGTGGCCGACGTGGACCTGCCGTGGCCGCCGAACCAGTAAACCGACTCGAAAGCGACTCGTCTTTTCATTTCGCCCCTCCCTCCGCTCTCCGTCCGATATATCATTTCTTATAAGTATATTAGAATCTCATGGCACGATAGAAAAGAAGCATGAGCGTGTACGAACTATATACGTCGCCACACACGGCTCTCCCGCTCGCCGAAATAACTTATTTAACCCACATCGTTCAGTTTTTAATCATCATACATTTTTCAATTTAACTCTATTGACTTGGTATTTTGGAACGAAGTTTCTTATCGAACATGAGCGAAACTTCATCCGACCGAAGGTCCATAGACCCCTTACGCCATTTTACGATATAAATTATAACGGCGGAGGAGTCAACGGACCCCCAATGTGAACAAAGTTACTTTCGAAAATAAATGGTCTGATGTTGATACAACACAACCTGTTTACTTCAGTTATTTTCATAGAATAATGTACGGTATTCTACTATGGAGGAATGCTGCCGACGTTCAAACTATTTCTGTTTCTAATACATTTATTTTCATCAAAACAAAGATGGCTTTTCGAAAAGAAGTGATGTCATCACATCATCATCATCAACAACCTTTAATAGTCCTGCTGAACAAAAGCCTCTCCTTAGAAAGGAGGTTTTTCCCTACTATACCACGCTGGCCAGACGGGTTGGTATAGGGTTTGTGTCAAGTTTTCCTTCTCTCTGCAGTACTGTTGTTCTGCGTAGTTTTTTCCCTGAGTCGGCTCTTACGACACCCACGGGATGAGTAGGGGTGGTGACACTCTGTATTCTTAATCCGTCACCACACGGATTCGGTGATGTACATTCTATGAATTCCAGAAATAGGAATTAACCTGTCATACCGGCCTCTAGGCTCCAAAATATAAACAAGTCATTTCGAGGTCAATATGTCCATTTTATAATAAAATCCCCAATACTTTATAAGACTTAGGTACAAACAAATTTAAATCCGCAATAAAACGTCAATGACGTAACACCTACTACTTAATTGTGGGTTACATAAAAGACAAGAATGCTTGGGATTTATTTAGCACAGGCTATTTATTAAGAAATGTAGTGTGGTATATTTTTTTATTTCAATATTTTTTATGTGTTTATCACTTACGTTTCTATTCCATCTTTTTTCTTCATCTTTTTTTTTACCTTTTAGTCCTTAATAACTGACATACTAGCCCACATCAAAACAATGTTGTGGTATATTTAATGATGTCATTGTATCTATCTGTTAATTAAGAAAGAATGGCCATGAGTTTGTTTGCCCTTTTTTCTCAAGGCTCAACCCCTTGGAAACGGGCGGTTGTAGATCGACACAGGCATTTTTATGTATGTAATAGATTGTCTATAAGTAATTTTATTATATTTATTTTGCTAAATATTTGAAAAAACAGAGATTGTTGTTATGTTATGAGCACTTGGTAGTAGCCAAAACTTTTACCACTTTCGTGAATTTTTGAACAGGGAGCGATACGAAAATGCTGTTCTCGCGGTGGCAGAGAGCACGGGACTGGTTATTCTTTTTTTTTACGTGGTGGAATGCGTTTAGGCACTCCGCTCACCCCCCGCGGAGGCAGAGGGTTCGCTTTGTGTGCGACTCCTGACCTCGGAGATGAGCCATACTACCCACTAAACTACCACGGTGTTCCTCTTTCACCTAATCCGAGCCATGGGGTAGTTTGCTCACCGCGACTCGGCTAGGGACGCCCTATTTAGCGGGCTCACCTCTAGAGGCGCCACCGAGGAACACAGAGGGGCGCATTCCGCCACATTAGCATGGGGCGGCAGGTACCCCGACCCACCACCCGTGGCCACTCTCATTCGAGGACGCGGGCGAATTGTGCTCGCCGGCATCCCCTCGGGGGGGGGGGGGGGGGGGCCTCGCTCTTGGCCGCCATCACCTCGCTAGCGAACGAGGCGACGGCAGCCCAACACTGTTCGCTGCCGGCCATAGCTGGAATTACGGCCGACAGCGACAGGTCCGCACCAACGGTGCTCGTGAGGGCCGTCTTTTGTTCGTCCCATGCCTCCCACACACGAGGAGACTGCTCTGTTCTTGGCTGCTGTCCTTTTGGCGACTTGGTGGGCGATTTCGTGGGCGCTATCTTGCCACTCTCCCACTCTCCGATGCTGCGCCTCACGTTTGACGCCCGCGTAGGTGGCGTCGATGATCCCGCCTTGACAGGCTCCAAACTCTCAGTCCCGGGAGAGGCTTCCGTTAACTTCTTTGCCGGCGTCCTAATACCGAACATGTTGAGCCACTGTTCTACACGCAGTGTATTGTAAAGAGACACACTGCGCGAGTGTGGGCACCGTTGATTAGTCTAATCACGTCGATATTACCCACTAGGGACAGGTTACTGTAGTGTCTAGGCTGGTCAATGGTCTAAAAACACTTACCCGAAACGAAACAATAATCATACAATTTGTATTAGGTAAGGTAAGTCACACAATAATAAAGAAATAAAATAGGATGAACAAAGTGTGGCCGTGGGTGGACGGGGTGGGTTTCCCCTCCACCCGCATTAGTTTGGCCAGCCGCGAGGGGGCGGCGTCCGCGTGTGCCGGACCTCGCCTAAAGAGAGGTTAAAATTTTGAGACGGAGCCCGGACGGAGAAAAAGGTTTTTTTTTTTTTACGTGGTGGAATGCGTTTACGCACTTCGCTCCCCCCCCCCCCCGCGGGGGCAGGGGGTTCGCTTCGTGTGGGACTCCTGACGGGCCAGACTACCCACTAAACCACCACGGTGTTCCTCCTTCGCCTAATCCGAGCCACGGGCTAGTTTGCTCACCGCGACTCGGCTAGGGACGCCCTATTTAGCGGGCTCGCCTCTCTCGAGGCCCCACCATCCGGGCAAATACCGTGCCCAGATGGTGGGCTAGCTCCCGGTCCAGCGTTCCGAGCCGCCACCGCGGACCTTCCCCTACCACGGGGCGGTCTAGTGCCACACGAGTCGCAGAGGCAGCAGGGACGACGTCGAATCGGATGTACCGATGGTCCGACGAAGTCTCCACCCCCTCGACTACCCGCCAGTTGTGTATGTGAGGGGCCAAGCCGGAGCTCGCGAAAGAAAGATCGACTATGGACCCGGCCTGGGCCCTCACAAACGTGTGGACCGACCCTCGGTTAAGCAGCACCAAGCCTTGGGACACCGCCCACTCCTCCACCATTTCCCCTCGGCTATCGGTCGCCGGGGATCCCCACGCCCGTGAGTGAGCGTTGAAATCCCCGGCCACCACAGCCGGGGTGGGGTGCACTTCCGCCAACAGAGCCCCGACCTCAGTGAGCAACTGCTCGAACTCGGCGAGACTTCTGCTAGGCGGACAGTACACCCCAACTACTGCAGCGCCGCCCAACGCGACGAGTACGCATCCTCGGCCCCTCCGCACTCTGTCGAAGGGAGGAGCCGTTCGCTGGGCGACGATAGCCACCGAGCCGTTGTGGTCGCTGGCCCAATTGGGGCCGTCGCGAACGTAGTACGGCTCGGCGACTACTGCCACTGTCGTCTGCCACTGCGCCATGGATTGGGCCAGAAGGTCCTGAGCCGTGACGCAGTGGTTGACGTTGGCCTGCAGTATGGAGATTTGGGCCATTAAGTTTGGGCGGTGTCCATCTTCTCCTCATTTGGCGGCAGGGTGGGCGAGGGTGTGGGTTTCGCCCCACCTGCAGCTCTCCTCTTTTGGCCCCTGTTACGGGAGGCCGCTTTACACTCCGCCGTCCCAAGCCGGTGGCCGGACGCTGCACCCTCCGCCGAACAGACGGGGCAGCTGGGCTCCGCTGAGCAGGTGGCCGACTTGTGGCCGGCCTGCCCGCAGCGGAAGCAGAGCGCACTGCGGTCTGTGGCCACAGTGCACCTGGCCCCGACGTGCCCTGGCTCGAGGCAGCGGAAGCACCGCACCGGCCTCGGCTCCAGGGTGGTCAGCTTGAACACTGATCACCCGACGACGATGCGGCGACCGTCGGTCAGCTTTCTGGCCGCCTCAACAGGGCACCGCAACCAGGCAGTGCCCTGTCGGCCAGATGGGCGATTGATGTCGCCGACCGTTATGGCGTCGGCAGAGCAGCCCCCCTCTGCTGCCAGCGACGCCGCCACCGTCTCTTTAGAGGCCGAGTCGCTCAGGCCAGAGATGCGCATCTCCACGCATCTCTGCGGCCTAGCCACACGGACCTCCTCGAGCACCTCCCTGAGCCTCGCAGCCAGTTGGTCGGCTTTCTGGGCTCTATCGGCGCCAGCCACCTCCAGGATCCGACCTCCGGTTACGGCGGTGCGGAGCCGGAGGCCGTCGATCCCCAGAGCCTTGAGGTCTATTGACCTCTCGGCTTTGGACATGACCTGCCCGTAGGTCACGCCCTGCTCCGCGGCGCCCGGCTGCAGCGTGAGTGTGATCGCTGCAGTCTGCGGGGAGCGCAGTTTGCGGGACCTCCGGGCACCACGTTTCCTCTTCTTGGTGGCTGGCGCTGCAGGAGTGTCAACGGTCGGGGCAGCCGACCGGACTGGAGCCGGTTTAGGCGCCTTTGGTTTGGCCGCCTTCGGCCTAGCCGCCACTTCGCTCCATGTCGCGCTTCGCGGGAGCGGAGCGGGGGCCAGCGAGGAAGCCGACGGGGGTGACTGCCGCGACTGTCGGGCAGCCTCCGCCTCCTTTGCCGCAGCAGTCTTCTTCCCCGTCTTCTTCCTCTTCTTTTTCTGCTCCCCCGATGGCCAGGGGGGGCACGCCCCTATCTCCTCCTGCCCGTCTGGCATTGGAGGAGAGAGGGGGAGAGGCCTCGGGGGAGACGCCTGAGGCACGGGCTCAGGTCCGCTGGCGGACCGGGCCGCCTTTCTCCTGTCCGCCTGTAGAGGCGGACGGATGCGGGTCTCCGGCGGCAGGCGGTCGGCGATCCCCGCGAGTCGCACGTCGATTAGAAAACCGATCTCATCGCGGCTCATCGCGGGCGGAGCAGCCTCCGCCTGCTGCTTCAAGGCCCGCATTTCTGCCCGAACTGCAGCCAGTTCGGCCTGTAGCTGG